TTCAGGAAGTTTTAGAAAAGACATGGTACAGCTTTTATTTTACAGTCTGTCCCACTAAGCTTTAGGATAAACCAGACATACACCAGGAGTGGAGCTTTGGTAAAGATATTAGTGAAAATACGCCGATCATGGTGATATCACTACCCCTCGGTAACCTGTCAGGTGCTGTTTCAGTACCAGAGGCAGCTGATGGTGAGCATGATGTTCTTCCTCTGTAGTCTGGAGTGTTTTGTCTCAGTACACTTTACAAAGCTGAGGCTGGGAGGTATGGCTCAAGTGTTGCGCAAGCAGATGTCACTGCAAGGTGTTGAGTATAGCTGGCTAGGATCACATTGGAAGACCTTCATCAGCATGTGCCTGTTGCCCTGTGCTTGGAGTCCAGCCTTTTCTAGTGGTGGGAGATGGTCAGGATAAAAAGGCTCCCTCCTGCTGTATGAAAGTGCTTTAAATCTCTCAGCATCTCAGCCTGAGCCTTTACTCTGGGCAGGCTCAGCAATGCAGGTGGATGGAGGTGGGTAGTCCTTCAGGCTGTTCAAGTGAAAGGAAGCAGGAGGGGGAAAAAAACGCAAGCCCTGCTGCTCCATCACTGCTTTCAGGCATCTTGCTGAAACGAGTTTGTTCCTCAGCTTTGTTCATGGCTCCGTGCTTGGCTCTTCAGTGTGGGAAAACCTTTACCAAAGAGTAAGAAATGTGGTAGAATGGAGAAGGTTATGGTGGAAGCAGGAGAAAGGAGGAAGCTGTAAATACGACATGTGCAAGAGAAGGAGGATTGTGTATACTGAGAAACTGGGGCGTACATGTGCTGCTTCCATCCATCTCTGATGCCAGAGTCCATGTGACAATTACCGTCCGTTTTCTGGTCTTCTGACCTGATAGAAGAACACAAGACATTGAAGCTTCAGCTCTTGAACGTATTAGTCCAAGAAAAATAAAAATTAATTCCAGAAGTGTAAAAAAAAAAAATGAGAACTAAATTTAGTTGCTGGCTTTACTTGATTTAAGCAAGAAGACTGATGCTGAAGTTGCCTGTTGAAATAGACTGGTAGCTTATCCTGCCTTTCTATTAAAAAGCTATCCTTTCTTTAAAGGACCAGACCTTTGGAGTTCTTACCTATTTACAAGAACCAGGCTGTGTCCTTGATGTGGCACAAGGCAAAAAATACAAATTTATGATTTTTTGCCTTTCATCTTCTTTGAACATAATCCTCAAAGAACCTTGTTGAGACTTTAAACAGGCCTTTCAGAAGAAAAGAAATTAACAGTGAAGAGAAAGTCAAACCCCAGCATGCCCTGTAGCTAAGGAAACTTTGAGGAATTCTCTTCTGAGCTGGATCCAAGTGATATTTCTACACTTCATTTGGTATATATTGATAATGTCATGCTGAGCCGTACAAAACCTTCATTTGCTCTGGTCCAGTTCAGGAAGTTGCAAGTCCATAAAGCATCATCTCTGATGATCCAGTCATTTTATCCCCTGTTGTAAAAAGGGCAGGAGAGAAAGAAAGAAGGGGGGGGAAAGTCAAAGATCCAGGTTAGGGGTGATGAATATGCAAACTGGCATAGCTCTAGACATCTTTGGGTGGGAAGGGAAGGGAGTGTGTGTGTGTGTGATGGTTATCCTAGTCTGGAATAGCAGATTATGGTAGTGAGGCAGAAATGATCTTTCTTTAGTGGTTTTGTATCAACTGCGGCATTAGCACAGTTATGAGGAACTGGGATTGTAACTTTGGAGAGAAGGCATGAGTCTTCATGGATGAGCTTTATGGGCTATGCTTTGAAGTTAGAAATCTGATTTGGTCTTGACAGTCTTTAACCAAATCTTTAACCTTGATGAGCAACCAAATTCATTCAATATAATGAGCAGATGCAGGCAGTCTGAGCTAGGAAAGTTGTCATCAGAAGTGATGAACTGGGAGGATTTTGTCACACTGGGTTTGCTTCCGTAGTTAGTGAAGGGCTCATACACTGGTTGTAAAGCACTCTTCTGGAATTATGTGTCAGCAGCCCCTTGCCTCCTGGATAAAGAAGCCTATTTTAGATAAAGAAATTAAACTGCAAGAGAAATTTGCTGAGTAATCCGTTCATAGTTCCGTTGGTTTGCGGCTCTTCAAAGAAACATGTGCTGCAGGAGCTCTGTGGTTTGGTGTGAACAGAAGTCTGCTGGGTCCTCTTGCAGTGAGGCTGGTGCTGAAGGATATTGCTGCTTCAGTGCTTAACAGGGCCAGTAACTCATTCAGTAAGAAAACTAAACCCTTTGCTTGTATGTGAATAGCTGGGGGAAAGGAAAGAAGAGTAACTTTCCCTTTGAGTCTTTGACTTTATAGCCATATCTCTTGGAAAAGTGATAAGGATATGCAGTAGCTTTATGTCTTTATCCACCCTATATTTTGATCATGCAGTGTCAGCCTTTCTCATCAGCATGTTTTGGAATTGTTTTAGTTTGCATTATATTTAGACATGCATTTTCTCTCTTGTACTCAGTGTAGGACATCTGTCACTGTTCGCTTCACTAAAGGTTCCCTGCGTATAATCCGGCATTTCCTGCCCTTGGCAATTAATATCCCATAGTATAATATAAAAAGGCTGTTATTTAAGATGTATACAGGGGAATACATGGTAAAGTGACACTACTTTATATATTCATCTGAGGGAAAGATGAATTCTTCAAAGCATCAGCCTGTTCCCTTGCCACAGTAAATTAAAGTTATTTGCAACTGTTCAAGTATTTCCAGTTTGAGCTTCACCAGGGATCTGTGATTAGAAGTCAGCTTGGTTTTAAGATGGCTGAGGTGACTAATTGACTAAGATGACAGTTTAAATTTGTTTCCTTCTGTCTAGTCACTGGATGTGAGATATAGGTTACTGTGTAACTGGTTTATGAGTTGTTCCTGATATTAGCACCTCTTGAAGCTGTGTTTGTGCAGCTGCAGCAGATGGTCAGGATGAGAGCTGAAGGATATGGATCAGAGTGGAAGGCATCAAAGTGGGCACAGACTGTGCTTATGCTGGGATGAGATACCAGAGTATAAATATAACTTCAGCCTAGAGTTAGAATAACTTCTGCTGAGTGTATCCAATCAGCATATACATACTATCTAGAGAACATGAAGAGATAACCTGACTTAGATTATAGATGGGTATTTTAAGGAGCTAGTAGAGATAATGCCAGAATAATATTTGCACATTAATTCTTAATGTATTCATGTTTTGTCCAGTAATTCCATGAGAGAAAAGGTATTATTTCCATCTCACAGCTAGTGGGAGAAAGGGAAGAGGAAATTTCTTGCCTATTTTGTGCTATGAATTCCTAGTGAAATTTGATTGAGGTGCTGGAACATGCAGTGAAAGGTTCAATCTTGTAGTAACACTGTTAAATGATGTAGTAAAAGCCAACTGGAGAAGTTAATCTCGTGTCATAATTGGTGTTTCATTGATTGGTGGGATCTAGAGCCATCCTTACTTTGGCTTGTTAGTTGCCCCAGGTTTAAGGTCCAAGGAAACACCAGCAGTGGTTTGTGGTTCAGGCAGGACAAGAGGATGAGGTCTTTCTGTTGGTCTGAAATCTGAACTGTGCCATGTGTCACAGGCATCCCAGCCATGACTCTGAAAATATACTTCTTTTTGGTAGTATTTAATAAAGAATGAATAAGTGGAGAATATTTGAGCTCTTGTTCCTACCAGGAGAATGCTTTTCTCTGTGAGATGTGAGGCATGTTGACAGGGTTATGTCATGAAGCCTGTATTCCTCTTTCACAATTTCACTCCATACGATTTCAGGAGATACATGTAAGTCTCAAAGGTTTCCCCCCTGCTTTCTCTTATTCCATTGTCCTTGGGATAGCATAGGCCTGTCTTGATGTGTACCTAACAGATTTAGGCTTTAGTCTTTTCAGAAGCTGGGCAGGCTCAGGGAAGGACTTGCTTTCTCCTTACTAGTAGCTGAATAATTGCTAACTGGTATCTGTGTGAGATGTCACTCATGTTTGTAAAGAGCTGGCTAATATACTGAAGTATGTTTTCGGTCAGTGGGTAGTAGGGATGATAGGATTAATGATACTGCATCCTATCTGACACCTGTCTTTTTTTGTTTGTTTAAGGCTACATGGCTTAGAGGAATTAAAAGCAGCATTTGTAGCTATGTCCACATTAGAAGCTCTGAGTGGTTCTTGTGGAATTCCTTAAGCTTTGAATCATGATAGGCACAGTATGTGACCCTCTGATACGTAGAATACGAAATCCTTATTTGGCAGCAGCACTGCCTAAAGTAGGCATTAGCTTTGTGCATTTAAGTATGAAAATGTGTGGTCGATGAAGAATTTTCTTCACAGATATTCCTGAAGTTGGCCAGAGTTCATGATGCTAGTAGGACCAGTGTGTTAGTCTATGTTGTTAGGATGCACGATTACCAAACCTGTAATCCAAGTAAAAATTGGAATACCATCTAGTTTTGAAGCTGCAGATCATATAGTAATTGAGGAAGGAAACACAGTGATGTGTAAATGTGACCATAGGAGAAACGAGTATTGCAGCAACAGCTGTGGAACGAAGTGTAACAAGCAGAACTGTGCCGAGTTTACTTGCTTGTTTTCATTCATACCTGCAAGTTTAACATTTCACTCATTTTTATGTGCTTGGCTGTAAGATCCCTCATTTGCTCAGGGCGCTGTTACAATGGATATTGCAGTAAAGTCCCCAGTTTATCATGCATATAATGAACCGATTTTATTTTAATAGCTTTTTCAGGTTGATATAAAATGAGAACACTTTTATTCTGCCTGCCTGAACCTGGTTAAACCTTGGTTGAACAAAAGTGGAAACTGAGTTGCTTACTTAATTTTTACAGTATTCAAAGGGGATAGGCTTCCAGCCATTCTGGCTGACATATTTTGCAGCTTCAGTTGTTCTTTGGTTTTTCACCTCCTGTAACTGTATATTAAGGTGTGTTCATTGCAGTACTCTATGAGGAAAGAGTTTAATTGTTTGCTTTTCTCTTGTTTCAGAACAGAGAGCTCCAGATTATGAGAAAGTTGGATCATTGTAACATTGTCCGATTGCGTTATTTCTTCTACTCTAGTGGAGAGAAGGTAAGAATGAAAAACAAGGCAATGCCTCCTGGTAACCTTCTGGGGTATAACTGAACTGTTTGTATTTCTAGAGACAGCAGTGTAAAGATAGAAAACCTGATAACATGGAGAAAATGCCACAGTGGTGCCCAGCAGATCATGTTGGAGCACATCTTTTTCAGTATGGAAGCGTGTGGTCCATGAGGAATAGTGTTATTAGTACAATGCGTCAACAGTGCAACAGATTTGCATACACACAGTCTCCTTTTTAACTTATTGGAGCACAGCCATGCTTCATTTGCGTGTTCTAGAGCTACCTTTTCACATGTGCAGATGTGTTTTCTAGGATGGGCTAGATGACCTTGTGAACTGCCTCTGGTATTTTTATATGTAGTTATAAACATTTATAGAAATTCTGTAATTTCTGTAAGTTTTATAATTTCTCATTTTTTAAAGTAGATTACATGCTTCGTTCTCTTCAGATGCTGGTGAACATGCACAATGCTGGAAAGAGCTGTATATAAGAGCTAATAGCTACTAAAGGGCTATTAACTGCTGCGACCACCAGCAGAATGGGAGCAGCAACCCACCCACTTCACGGTCTTTGGGGGTAGACGAGTTGTTGGTGGCAGGTTGCTGAAGTCTTGTGCAGTGCACAAGAGGGATAATTGGAAGAGCTCTTTTGTTACCTCTTGGAGAGGTGCGTGGGGAGACCTGGCCCTGCACTTTGCCTGCTTTGCCTATGGAAAGCTTCCAAAACCACATAGCAGGAATCAAGGAGAAATGAGATTTAATGTTTTTATGCTTTCTTTCTTTGGGTCAGCCCTTGCCTGGTGATAGCGTGCATTCACAGTGTGATATGGCTCTTGCAGGTTTTTAGTAGTTAACTGTCTTTTTTGTGAACTATATTGCACTCATTTAGCATGTAACCGCAAATTCCTCTAGCAGCTTGAGTACAAGAAGGGAAATAGAGTCAAGGAGGGTTTGGGTTCAGCTTGTAATTTGACTAGGATGAAGTGGAATTTAATGAAACAAACAGAAGACAACTGCCTTATCTAATGGCTTTCAGAATCCTCCTGCAGACAGTGGAAGTGTTAAAACTTCTCAGGACACTGAATCGGGATCCTTTGTGTAACAGTAACTTGAGTAAAACTCTTTCGGGAATCTTTAACTTGATGTTGAGCTTGAGACTGGATTTTCTACTTTGCTGTTTCAGCTCCACGTGGCTGATTCTTGGCAACACTAAGTTCTGTTTTTAAAACTGCAGTCTCTTATCCATGAGCAGCAAATGGTAATGCTCCAGTGGAAAGTTTTCTTTCACATTACTTTCACCTCATCTCTCATCGTGCCTCTACTCTGTGCCTTTGAGATTTCCACTGTTGCCTTCTTGCAAAATCGGACAAATGTGAACCAGTCCCTAGGGCAGAGGTGCACGCATCAGCACTGTAATATTGGAGTTCCGGTTGCAAGGTCTCTTTGCAGTTCAATACAAAATGATAAGTAATAGGCTTGCAAGAATTTCCATGAGACTTCATAATGAAGCTGGCTCTTAGGGCAGTGGACGAAAAGGGAGAAAAGTGTAAGGGAACCAGGAAGGACATGTAGGAAGCAATGGTAGATTTAGATGCTGGGTACCCAGAGCTTTATATAAACTGATTTTTGAAGCTAAGTCCAATGGGAAGAGTAGTGTAAAAATCCAAATAACTGTGTGGTAGCATAGTGATGAGTGGGGCTTGCAATTGTTGCCTGTTTTTGTGGAGAACTTAACAGTCCACTGCCATTTAGGCTCTGTTTCTGCTAATTAACTCAAGTCTAGCAGTAATGACAGGTAACTGTTATACTGCTGATCCCTTTAATGAAGTAGTTCATCGGTGAACTTAATTTTGATACCAATGTAGATGAAGCATTCTCTTGCATAAAGTTTTTCATGGTTCTGTTATGACTCCACCTGTTTGTTCCAGCTGGAGTGTTCCTTGGACTTCCCCTGTGTTTCCCAGTGCTTGACACCGGTGTCTCTAAGCCCAGAGGCATGTCTTTCTTTGGCTCTTTCGTAGCCAATACCTGAGAAGCTTAAATCTGTCTTGATTTTGGAGGTACTTCCAAGGATTTCTCCAAATCCAGTAGGACTGGCACTCTTTGAATTCTATGTGCCTAGCAGCTACTTCAGTTTAATTGCTAGGCATTTTTTTAAGCACTGAGCAACCTTAAAACTAGCTTTATTCTAGCAAAACAGTGGGTTTAATTCATGATTAGAAAACCTGACACAACAGAAAATAGCATCAAATAGAAAAAGAATTTGAGATAGCACTTGTTAGTAAGACTATTCCTTAGCTGCATCAGTTAAAGCTAGTTTATAGAGATTTGGAGCTCTCTGATAGCTTTTCCTTGGGGCTATCTGTGGAACTGGCTGAAGCGTTTGAGCTCCTCCTTTTCTTTTTCCCTGCAATGAACTCTCCTTTTTATGTCTCCTGCTCACTTAAACGTCCTTCCTGATTTTACCAAAAGCAATCCAGCCTCAGCATGGAAGTCTTGTATCAAACATGGCTTTGACTGATTTGTTCTCCTTTGTTTTCTGTGAATGGGTGGCTCCCTCTTCTATGAACATCTTTGAATTTGCATTGCCTTTATATAGGTATGCCCTACATGAGGTGGGTGTGTGCATGTCTGTATATATATGCACGTACATGCACACGCATACGTCTTTATACATGTGTATATATAAAAACATTATTCTGAGTACTGACTACATATCAATCATGTTTGACTAATGATTTCTACTTTAAGAGAGCTCAAAGAGAGCATGCAATGTATATTAATATGACAGTTGGCAGGCATGGCATTTGGGTTGCTTCTTTCTATAAACTAATTGCTCCCTGGTTCTTTCCTTGTTCTAAGCTTACAGACCTTTGTCAGACCTACCTGTTGGATAACCCAGTTCTTTCAAAAGACTTTTCTTTAATGAGTTTTTTTCTGAGGCTGTATGAGATATCTGATGGCAGGGCAGTGACTTTTGTAGCTGTAATATGCTTCTCAGTAGTCCAGAGCATGTAATTATAACTGGTGGAATGAACCAGAGGGTAAAGAAGGACAGCCAAATAATGGGCTGAGTTGCATATGGAGGATTCTCTTGGTGGGAACAGTCACAAGTCTTTTCCATGCTGTATTTCTGTGATTTGTGGTTTTCCTGGTAATCCTTAGAGAAAGCAATCAAGATTATAGGGCTAGCCAACTCTGCTGCGTTGCGTAGTTTTGGTATTGTCTTGAGTAAGATGCTTGGTTTGCCTGTCAGCTTGCCACTGGGAGGGAAATCAGGCCTTATTAGGAAGGCATGCATTTCTGGTTTGATTTTTGCTACTTTTCCTTTATTTCAGGGACTGCCTTGCATTTAGCATGATGTATCAGTGTAAATGTTGAGTTACTGCAGCAGGGGGAGATGGTCTTGCTGCCCATCTTTTTTTAGCCTAATTCTGCTGAGGACCTTTTTCATGCTCCAAGGGAGGGTAGACATGGACATACCCAATAACTCCCCTAGCTCATTTGTTGAAAGTATTCCCTGATGTTTTATAGCATGACCTAAGTTCCTACATCAGTGGCTGCTGAGTAAAATTATTCAGCTGTGTAAAACCTGAAATGAGAACCTATTCCCCATTTTTCTTCCACCTCTATTTCTGGTTTAGTTCTTTCTTTGTGATATTTCATAGCTGTCAGATTTTCTTTTGTGAATGCTTTTGAGTGTTTAATAGTCTGATCAATTCATATCCATGCTGAAAAGAGGCAAAGAAGCACTGGAGAGATTTGTTCCTACATCACATCATAAAAAAGTAAAGTAAATACAGTTTTTATGAAGCAATTGCATCTCTGATTATGTAACTCTCTCTCCCCCTCCCCCTTTAAGGTAGCTTGGGATTCAGAGGACTCAAAGCAAGCATATATGGAAACACAGATCACAGATAGGCAATACACTGACTCTTTTGGAGGCTGAGCTAGCCCTTCTGCGTACCCTAATTGATTTCTAGTCTTATTTAGCTTCAGCTGTAAGGGCATGCAGCCAAAAGTCCGTGCAGACTCAGGATGGAAATTTACTCCAATAGACTTAGACTGAGGTTTAAAATAAACATGCAGGAGATATATGCAGAGCTGCATGTACAAGCTGCTGTGCATGCATTTTGACAGTAGTGTATTAAACTGCAACAAAGACATTTGGGAGAATCATAAAATGGGTGGGATTGAAAAGAGAGCAACTACTTGATTTGCAAGTTTGGGCTTTGCTTGAATAGTTGGTGTTTCTCCAGGTTCATATCCCTGTTAGGAAGAGATAGATCGCTACCCTTTCTGCGGGAGTGCTCAGATGCGTCCTCTCACAAGAACCATCTATTGTGCACCCTGTTACTTGTATTTGTAGTTGAGTAATTTGGTTTCATCATTGAAAGAAATGAAGAAACAGAACACGAAGTTCAATCAGCAGAGCCTTGAGCCCAGTTTTAAATTGCCAGAGCCTGTGTGAATGATTTGCACCAGTCTAGTGACGTGCTGAAGGGTTAGCACTAGGAATGAATTTAGTCGCTATGCTCCCTTCAGTCCTTGGCAGAACTGCTGTGCTGTTGACAAAGGAGCAATTAATGCCAATTATGAGGAGTTTTGTGGTGTTGGTATCTCTGTAGTCCTTGCCTGTGGCCTGCCAAGCTCATTTCAGGAAGGGCAGTAGTCATTAGATAATGATTATCAGTTACTGCTGTTCAGGCTTGCAACATGCTGGGAATTTTCTTAGTTGTAGTTATGAGCAGTCTCTGGTTCTTGAGTAGGTTGTGTTAATAGAAATAGCAGTTTTGTCTGCTTGTGATAGGGCTAAGCACCAGTAGCTAGATTCTCAGTGTGATGGATGTGTGCAGTGGAAATGGGAAGCTCCATGGTTTTGCTCTAGTCCAGTACATCTGGTTAGTCACTCTTAAGTCCATTCCACTAGCAGCTCTAGCCACTGCTCTCATCTACCTGTGTTGGGTGGCCATTAGGAAAGTAGCTCA